GGCTGTAATGCACTATGAACTCCAGCCTGGGCAACAGAACAAGACTCCGCTTCTTTCTTAAAAAAAAAAAAGAAAAGAAAAAGGTCTGGAGATCTGTTGCACAATAATGTGAAAATACTTAATGCTAACTACTGAATTATATTCTTAAAAATGGCTAACATGCTTCAAAACAAACAAACAAGAAAGATTTGTATTTTAGGACCACTCTGGCTGGCAATATAGACTACAGATTTAAAGTGTGAAACAAGGCTGACAGAGAGACTAGTTAGAAGGTTATGACAAGAGATGTGAAGATGGAAGAAATGGTGTTGGATAACTGAGTCAAGACAGTAAAAAGGTAAGATGAAAGGACATGGATAAGATTTGGAAAAGAGACAGATTAGGGATGAAGTAAAAGGAAACTATCATTTGTAGAAGAGCTAAGTACTATATTAATATTTTTGCAAGTTATTAATTCATTTAACAAACCTTTATTGAGCAGCTACTTGTGCCTAGATTTTAGACAATCATTCTGCCACTATCATAGAATAGCTTCTCGTTTTTTGAAGTTCACTAAACTGGCCTTTGACACTGTATCTGCTTAATAATTATTAAGTAAGAAATAGACATAAGCGATTGCATTGAAATGAGCTAAAATGAGCAAGTAAGAAAATAAATGCCTATAACTGACTCTGGAAACCACTGATCTAAGAATTTATTATCTAAGCAAATAATGGTGACCAGGATAACAAGAAAAGACCACATAATGAGAAAGAGAAAGTAAACATAGAAAGTGCAGACAGTGATTATGTATCAGGTGCAGGAATGCAGAAATGCCCCTGAGTAGTAGCAATGTGTGAGAGGTATATTTGAAGACCCACCTTCCATGGTCCTACTTGCTACTGATTCCAAAGTTGGAACAGCTCCCAGGAGCCAACATAGAACCAATTCCTGGAAATGATACCACTTATCAAGTTAGGAAAATTACACTTGGCAAATCTATTAGAAGCACATCTAGCCTAAACTCAAAAAGAACTCTTTGAATTCAACTGTCACACTACTTTAACAATCATGAGGGGATTAGGAGAAAGATTAGCTAGAAATCCTCTGAAAAACTTTCCAAATCCTTCTGCTGTCCTCATACTACCAAAGCTATAAAAAGATTCATCAAATGGATGGCCAAAATAACCTTGAAAGAGGCAGATATCTTTGCAGCTAACAGTTTAACTGTTAAAAGCTCAAGTGTTAGGAAGCAGTTTTCATTTATCCATTTTCCATTTACCCAACAAATATTTATTGCATGCCTTTATGCTCTGGTTACCGACAATTCAGCAGTGAACAACAGCCAAGCCCAAGGAGCTCAAAGTCTAGTAAGCACAGGATTACAGTCAGCCAAAACTTGATTTAAATCCTAGCTCAGCTAAGAGACCTTAGCTAAATTAATCTCTTTCTGAGCCTCAGATTTCTCATCTGTAAAATGGGAAAAATATCATCTATTTCATATGATTGTGAGCTAATTAAATATTGAGCGGCAGAAAAAAATGCTTAGCAGACCCTGGCACATAGAAAACATTTAGTGTGAAAAATCACTTAATGATTTTTTATTTTATTTTTTTACTCAGGAGATAATACAGCAGTTGAAAATGCCTCCTTCCAAATCAATGAAATATTCTCTAATGAAAAGTATTTCGATAAACAGGATATGAACAAGGAAGGCATCACTCAGAGTACTCCTTTAGACACCAATACTCAATGAAGATATCTCAACTCAAATGTCCAATAAACATCTCAAACTTAACCTGCTCAAAAATGACCTCTTGATCATCTCCCACTGTGTACCTCCTATAGTCTTCCCCATCTGCATTAAAGGCAATGCTACTCTTTAGGTGTTCAATCCAAAAACCTCAGAGTTATCCTTGACTTCTTTCATCCTCTCATACCCCACAGCGAATGCATCAGGAAAGCCTATTTGTTTGTTTTTCTTCTACTTTCGAGATGGATCCAGAATTCTCAGCTCCACTGCTATCATTCTGGTCCATTACCATGAACTCTCACCTTTTTTGCAGTATTGCACAGACTTTATTTTAACAGTCTCTTTAACTGGTTTTCCTGCTTGCTTTCACCTTTTCTCTTTTTTCAATCATTCACCAAACAGAAGCCAGGATGATCCCACTAAAGTATAAGTCACAAAAACCTCCAAAGACTTCACAATTCATCCTGAGTAAAATCTAAAGTTCTTACAACGGTATATATGAGACTCTCTGATCTAGCTGGTGCTTCCTCTCTGACCCCATCTATTACTGTTCTCTTCATGCTCTCCACTGCAGTCACATTACCCTCCTTGGAGTTATTCAACCAGACAAGGCACACTTCTGCCTCCAAGCCTTTACACATGCTATTCCAACTACTTAGAACACTTTCATATTCATACAGCTAGTTCCTTCACCTTAAATTTTGGCCTCTTTTGTGAATCCTTCCCTGTCTACTTGTTGAAAATTATAAACCACTTAGCACTTAATATCATATATATTACAATTTGTTTTCTTGTTTAGTTTAACTCCTCTGCCCACCCCCTGCTGATTAAAATATAAATTCTAGCTAGGTACAGTGGCTCATGCCTGCAGTCCCAGTGCTTTGGGAGGCCAAGGTGGAAAGATCACTTGAGCCCAGGAGTTCAAGATCAGCCTGGGCAACATAGCAAGACCCTTGTCACTACCAAAAATTTAAAAAAAAAAAAAGTTAAAACTTAAAAAAAATTAAAATGTAAATGCCATGAGGACAGGGATTTTTATTTGTTCATTATTATATTCCTAGTACCTGGAATAGTGCCAGACATGGTAGGAGCCAAATAAATATCTTTTAGATGAATAAATGAGCCAAAAGCAAGCAAGCAAGTCAGAGAAAAACTGTTTTAGGGATAAAGTAAACTAAATAAACTCTTCCATTATTTGTGGGCTAGCTTGCCAACCTCAAATTCTTGTTTCTCAAATGTCACAGGGAGTTACTAAAAATAAGAACAGAAAACATGTACCACAGTTTGAGAGTTTTTTATTACTAAGTGAGCAAAGCAAAAATATAAAAGTTAATTTTTCCAAAAGTAAAGTATATGTCAAATTATATTCGTAGAAATACTTTTTGCAGGTAGAAGTTTAAGTGAAATAAACTTCTAATTATGAAAGAATTTGAGATGTGACATTTCATACTTTTTTTTTTTTTTGAGACATAGTCTCACTCTATCACCCAAGCTAGAGCGTAGTCGTGCAATCTTGGCTCTGCAGCCTCCACCTCTGGGGTTGAAGCGATTCTCCTCCCTCAGCCTCTTGAGTAGCTAGGATTAGAGGTGCCTGCCACCATGGCTATGTTTTAATCTTTTCTTTTCTTTTTTGTATTTTTAGTAGAGACAGGGTTTCACCATGTTAGCTAGGCTGGTCTTGAACTCCTGACCTCAAGTGATCCACTCACCTTGGCCTCCCAAAGTGCCAGGATTATAGCCACTGTGCCACTGTGCCTGGCCTTCACACTATTTTTGATTTCTGGCTCTTTTTACTAGGGCTAATTCAGCTTTCTTAGAGCTGGGTTTACACTAGACCATCAACTACAAACACACACTAAGCATATACTATGGGCCCAGACACATAGGGTATTATATGCCCTATCTAGGAGACTGAGTTCCATTAGAGAACCTGGGATTTCACACAGCTCAAAGAGTGGGAGAGAGAAGAGAGATAAGGACATTCCTAGTCCTAGAAGGGATACCTAAAGCCAGAATGTATAGAAGAAAGCAAAAAGACCCATGTAACTAAAGGAGGGATTCATATTATGAAACCAGATTAGACAGAGTTTAGAATATGAAACAGATTTTTAAAAATTCAATATTGAAGAAACAGAATTTTTTAGACAGAAGCAACACGTTATCAATTGTGTTTGATGAAGATTATTCAGATAGTAATATGTTGAAATGAAGAAAAGAGGTCAGGTGTGGTAGTTCACACCTATAATCCCAGCACTTTGGCAGGCCCAGGTGGGAGGATGCCTTGAGGTCAGGAGTTCTAGACCAGCCTGGGCAATATACTGAGACTTAATCTCTCCAAAAAAAAAAAAAAAAACTTAAAAATTAGCTGGGTGTGGTGGCATGCATCTGTAGTTCCAGCTAATGGGGAAGCTGACACAGGAGGATCACTTGAGCCCAAGGGTTTGAGGCTGCAGTGAACTATGATGGTGCCACTGATTTCCATCTTGGGTGACAGAGAAGTAAGACCTTGTCTCTCTTTTTTTTTTTTTTTTTTTGTCTTTTTTTTTTTTTAAGACCTTGCCTCTTAAGAAAAAAATATATATATATTTGTAGGAATTGAGGCATGGAATAATATTACAGTTTTGGATGAAGAGAAAGAAGAATAATCAGAAAGATATGACAAAGACAAAAATAGGATAAGACTGGGGACTGATTATATTCAAGTGATGAGAAAAAGTCAAAACTAATCCCAAAGAACAAAAGATTCTAATAAGAGAACAAGGATTCTAATAAGAGAAATGATAAAAGTCAGGCATAGTGGCTCACGCCTATAATCCCAACACTTTGGGAGGCTGAGGCAGGCAGATCATGAGGTCAGAAGTTCAAGACCAGCCTGGCCAGTATGGTGAAACCCCATCTCTACTAAAAATACAAATATTAGCAGGCTGTGGTGGTGTCCACCTGTAGTCTCAGCCACTACAGGTGGCTGAGGCAGGAGAATTGCTTGAACCTGGGAGGTGGAGGTTGCAGTGAGCCGAGATGGTGCCACTACACTCCAGCCTGGGTAACAGAGCAAAACTTTGTCTCAAAAAAAAAAAAAAAAAGCCAGAAATGAAAAAAAATGAAGGTTGGAATGGATGGCCACTTTGGGGAGGGTAACCAAGCTAAGCTGTACTGCAAACACTAGCAGAATAACTGACTAGAAAAAAAGAATATGAACTATAATGAATAACAACTATTAACATACAGAGAGATCTGAGAGTTAACAGCATGGGATAACAAATTTTTAAAAATAGTTTTTAAGGAAGGGCACAGTAAGAATTTTCTCACTATCCCAGCCATTAACCACTGAGTCATGAAAGACACTGCAGTGGAATAAAGATGGTCATTGAGAGATGGAGTCTAATTCCCCTCCCCTTTAATCAAAGAATTTTCTCACTATCCCAGCCATTAACCACTGAGTTCATGAAAGACACTGCAGTGGAATAAAGATGGTCATTGAGAGATGGAGTCTAATTCCCCTCCCCTTTAATCAAAGCTGGACTTAGTGACTTGCTTGACTAACAGAATGCAGCTTAAGGGACATTTTGGAACTTGCAAGGCTAGGTCATAGAAGGCTTGCAGCTTCCACTCGGGTGGTTTGTACCACTCACCAGTCACTGCATGAAAAGCCTAACTATCCTGAGATCAACTACTGTGGGAAGCCTAAACCATATGGAGATGATCTAGAGAATGAGACGCCATGTGGAAAAAAGGAAGAGCCAAGGAGTACCATGGCACCAGACATGTAAATGAAGAAGCCATCTTGGAAATGGATTTGCCAGCTCAGTCACTGCAGGTGACACATATGGATCAAAAATCCAGCAACGCCCTTCTGCATACCTGACCTACAAAATCACAAGCAAAATAAAATTTAACAGCCACTAAGTTTTGGGGTAGTTTTTTGTGTAACAATAGATCACGGAAACAGGTGTCTTTTTATCCTAAACCCAGAGCCTAGCAAAATACCTAGCCCATAGTAGATTCATTCAAAGTGGTGTGTATCAAGTGAATCTCTCTCTTCCCTTATATTTTCTAATTTACCTCTTTGTCATTTTCCCTCACTGTCCTTTAGGAAAACTTGAATCACAGACACAATCACTGTTAGTAGCTCTGGTATGTCCTCTTAACTACCATGTGGTGATAACAGCTGCCAGCCCCAAACTTTAAAGATAGGTATGTCTTTGCTGCCAAAGTTAACCCAAGGCAGGGCACCAGGCAACTTCACTTCTGGCTCAAGGTAAATTAGGCTAGGAAAATATTCTGTACTGGAACACACAAAAAAATAAGAAGCAGGCACAATTAATAACAATATCACATATCACTGTACACCAAAAAAAACTGGAATTGGTCTGCCTTGCTCATTTTTCCTTTCTTTTCTTTCTTTTTTTTTTTTTTTTTTGAGATGGGGTCTCACTCTGTTGCCTAGGCTAGGGTGCAGTGGCAGAATCCCAGCTCACTGAAGCCTTGTCCTACTGGGCTCAAGCAATCCTCCTGCCTCAGCCTCCTGAGTAGCTGGGACCACAGGCACAAACTGTAATGCCTGGCTAATTTTTAAATTTTTTCTAGAGATAAGGTCTTACTATGTTGCCCAGGCTGGTCTTGAACTCCCGGCCTCATATAATCCTCCAATTTCAGCCTCCCAAAGTGCTGAGATCACAGGTGTGAGCCACTGCACATGCCTTGGTTTGCCCATTTTTATAAATAATGTATGAGTTTTGTCACTGAACCCATGGAGTTTCCTTTCATTGTAAGTTGTCTAATTATATATGCCTTCTTATAAGTCTGACAAAACCAATTCAGAAGCAATACATATCAACCCACATAAACAAGAAATTTCTAAAGTAACTACTACTCTTTAATGAAGAAAGAAGGTGTATGGTTGGGTGAGAATAGGGAGTGACATGAGGATCAGGGCTACGTGAATAAAAAACTCTCTCCAACAGCCTTTAGCTAAAAGCATTTCCTTCATAAACATCTGCTCGACTGAGGCGGTTCTGTTGTAAAAAGACTGAATCACCTCAACTAGGCCAAGGAATATTCTGCAACTGAAGAACTGGCTGAGTGGTTCTCATTGCCACAGAAGAAAAAAAAAAAACAGTTTCTTTTCTTTTCTTTTCCTTTTTTTTTTTTTTGAGACAGAATCTCGCTTTGTTGCCCAGGCTAGAGCATAGTGGCATGATCTCGGCTCACTGCAACCTCCACCTCCTGGGTTCAAGCGATTCTCCTGCCATAGCCTCCGGAGTAGCTGGGACCACAGGCATGCCCCACCCACGCCTGGCTAATTTTTGTATTTTTTCGTAGAGAGGGAGTTTTGCCATGCTAGCCAGGCCGGTTTCAAACTCCTGGCCTCAAATGATTTACCCACCTCTTCCTCCCAAAGTGCTGGGATTACAGGTGTGAGCCAGCACACCTGGCTGGATAGTTTTCTTCACGGCAGAAAAGGCAAGAGAGACCCCCCAAAACATCCTTCTCACCAAGCAATTCATTTGCTGTCTCCCCTGATCAGAGAGTACCGTCATTTGAGATCCCTCTCCACAACCATATATCTTATCCAGTTCCCCAATCTTCTAGCTACTGAGAGGCTCTTCGCTAACAGGTTCCCAAACTGCTTGACTGTGAGGATATTTCCTTCCCTGTGCCTTTCTTAACAATATTAAAAGGAAAAAGTACTTTGAGATGACACACAATCTATCCAGAGGCATCTCTTTTCTCTTCTCTCATTGTTTCTCTCTCTTTCCTCTCTATCCCAATCTCCCATGAATCTAGCATATGCAAGAAAAAACGTATACCATGTAAGTTTTTGGCAGCTGCTTTTTGATTATGAATGACAGACATCTTTATTTTAGGATGAAGTTGACAACATGAAGACAGAGCAAAGAGAAAGAATGAGGCTCTGGACAGCATCACTTTAACCACTGAATTATATTAATACTTAATCTAATAAATTGCTAAAATTCCAGTTACATAAGTCCTTTTGTTGTTTAAGGCCCATTTAACTATTTTCTATTACTTGCTCCCAAACACATCCTAATATGCCCAATGACCAGTATCTTTTCCAAATAACCCAGAATACGTAAAAAGTGAGTCAGAATTGAATTCTACAAACACTATGCATGCTACACATACAAGAGCCTGTGCTTAGCCCTATGGGAAATATAAAAATCAATTAAGCACAGCATGTTGTAATAGAAATTTGAAGTCAGATGAACCTGGATCCAATATCCTACTTTGGGGAAGTAACTTAATTTCTCTAAGCTTTAATTTTCTCATCTACAAAATGGAAGAAACAGGATTACAGCATTGTGAGAATTATAGTTAATATAAAGTACCAACCATAGCATTCTGCCCATAGTGGGAGTTTAATAATTAATAGTTGTTATGGTTTAAGAAATGGGAGAAATTCTTTAACATCAAATGGGGCAGAAAACACAAATACTTATGATCTGCTGAGTGGGATATTTATAGGGTATGGATGATTGTCAAGGGTTCTAATTCTTCACCTCCTACTGAATTTGCAGGACACTCCTGATAAGGGCAGAGTATATTTCCTACCCCTGGACTCAAGCATGTGGCTTGCTTTGTCCCATGGGATGTTGGCCAAGCAAACTTGAACATAAGGAGAGTCATGAAAAGTAGTTGTGCAAATGGATTGGCATATTCTTGCAACTCTGGTATCATTTTAAAAAGGACAAATCCAGTCTAGCCCACTGGCCCCAGAAAGGGGATGAGCTAGAGCAAAGCTGCCCCAGCAAGTCCCAGACTACAGCAGACCACCAGCTGACCAGCAGCTGCATGAGTGAGCCTAAGTTAGATCAGCACAACTGCTCAATCTAGCCCCGCTCAGTTCAGCTAACCCTGGAAATGTATGAGAAATAAAATGTTTGTTGTATGCTTTTGTGGCTAGATGGCAACAGCTAACCAAATATAATTCATAGAGTTATATTTTCTGTTTTAAAAAAACAAAGATTTATAGTTCCCTGATACTTGTGACTAAGTGAAAGACAAGGTTAGCTCTTGTGAGTCAAAGACATACTTATGTTATATTCCTATTCTTTTTTTTTTTAAAGAGGTCTCTCTCTGTTGCCCAGGCTGGAGTGCAGGGGTACAATCATGCCTAATTACAGCCTCAACCTTCAACCTCCTGGGCTCAAGCAATCATCCTGTCTTAGCCTCCCAAGTAGCTGAGACTATAGGTGTGTGTCACCACATCTGACTGATTTTTTAAATTTTTTGTAGAGTCAGGATCTTATTATATTGCCAAGGCTGGTTTCAAAATCATGACCTCAAGCAATCCTTCTGCCTTGACCTCCCAAAAGTGTTGGTATTATAGGTATGAGCCACTGCATTCAGCCTCAATACAGATTCTTATTTCAACTAATTAAATTTAAAAGGTTTCATGTGACCTTTCACCAAACTGTTTTCACTATATATTTTTTGAGACAGGATCTTGTTCTGTCACTAAGGCTAGAATACAGTGGTGCAATTATGGCTTACTGCAGCCTCAACCTCCTGGGCTCAGGTGATCCTCCTACCTCAGCCCCTCCAGTAGCTGGGACTACAGGTGCATGCCACTACACCTGACTAATTTTTGTATTTTTTGTAGAGACAGTCTTTTGCCATGTTGCCCAAGCTGGTCTTAAATTCCTGAGCTCTAACGATCTGCCCACCTTGGCCTCTTGAAGTGTTGGGATTACAGGAGTGAACCACCATGCCTGGCCTATGCTTTCACTCTAACAAATACTAGTTTGCTTAAAAATGTGAGTCAGCTGGCTGGGCGAGGTGGCTTACACCTGTAATCCCAGCACTTTGGAAGGCTGAGGCAGGTGGATCACCTGAACTCAGGAGTTGGAAATCAGCCTAACATGGAGAAACCCTATCTCTACTAAAAATACAAAATGAGCCAGGCATGGTGATGCATACCTGTAATCCCAGCTACTCAGGAGGCTAAGGCAGAAGAATTGTTTGAACCCAGGAGGCGAAGGTTGTGGTGAGCCGAGATAGGGGCACTGCACTCCAGCCTGGGCAATAAGAGCGAAACTCTGTCTCAAAAAGAAAAAAACAGCCAGGTGCGGTGGCTCAAGCCTGTAATCCCAGCACTTTGGGAGGCCGAGGCGGGTGGATCACGAGGTCAAGAGATCGAGACCATCCTGGTCAACATCGTGAAACCCTGTCTCTACTAAAAATACAAAACATTAGCTGGGCATGGTGGCACGTGCCTGTAATCCCAGCTACTCAGGAGGTTGAGGCAGAATTGCCTGAACCCAGAGGGCGGAGGTTGCGGTGAGCCGATATCACGCCATTGCACTCCAGCCTGGGTAACAAAAGTAAAACTCCGTCTCAAAAAAGAAAAAAGAAAAAAAAGAAAAACAAAAAAACTTGACTCTATCCTAACTACAGGTAGTTTAAAAAAAAAAACAAACAAAATAAAAACCTAAGTGTCTGACTGTTCCACATTCAATTAATGTCTATAATTACAATGAAGACTCATGGAAATGGTTCAAGTCCAGAAAAGTGCAGATCACTAATGTATATGAGAAATATTCTTCCTAATAATGAGTGCTATGCTTGCCTACTGTAATGATTGACAAATAAATGTGAAGAGAAATGACGAATGGTACTCATATCACTTTGGAAGATAAAAATTCCACCACCTGAAAAGTATTTGCTGAATGTCATCTAAGTTTCAAGGGCTGTGCTAGATATTATTAATAATTTATTTTTTATGATCCTTAGTGAAACCAATAGTTGTGCCTCCAAGGTAAATTATAAGGTAATTAAACCTAGAAGTCTCCAAAGACCTGTGCCATCAAGGCCTTTGCTGATCCCCTTCTAAAAATACCAAAAGCATTTGGCTATTTGGGCTTTATCACTATTAGTCTATTAATATAACATTAAAAATTACTAATATCATAAGCTATGTCAAAATCTCATTAATGCTACTGGAAAGACTGGCAATAAATACTCTTTCATAAAGCACACACTGTATGTTGCAAATGGCTAAAAACAAGCTAACAAGCAGCAGATTAAGTACAACATGGCCAAGAGAATATTCCATTATGATCACTTATTACTGTCATTGCCACCATGTCCTGCTTTAAAATATGCAACTCAACACGGATTTTAAAGGATGTTCTTCTTTATCAGCAAAACTAACACACCGGTCCTTTCAACGAATTTACATTTCAGAGAACAATCACATACGCAGGGAATGCAACAAATATTTCTATGCTTATTAGCGTCAGAACTCTGGTGGGTAGAAAGAAGGGGAGAACTTTATCTTTGAAGAATTTATAGACTCAATTCCAAGAATAGAAATACATGGGAAATGTTTCTTGATCTGGGGTGCTGGTGTGTTCATTTGTAAAAATTTAGTGAGCTTGTACTTTTCATATGTATATTTTTTCTCATATGTTATACTTTAATAAAAGGTCTAATTTTAAAAAAAATTATTTTTACCTCTGCTTTACTAGGAAAAAGTCTAATTTAATGACACTAAGAGCAGTATAGGACTAAGTACAAAATGAAAAATATTAACGACTCAGAGTTCAGAAGACGGACTAGTCATTGTTAATACAAGTTCAAAGAGTTAACATGTATTAAATAATTTCTATATGCCAGGCATTATACTAAATATTTTATATTTCTTTTTTTTTTTTTTTTAAAGATGGGGTTTCACTATGATGGCCAGGCTGGTCTTGAACTCCTGCCCTCAGGTGATCCACCCACTGCAGCTCCCAGAGTGCTAGGATTACAGGCGTGAGCCACGGCACCTGGCCGTATTTTATATTTCATCTTCACAACATCCTTGTGAGGTCAACATGATATCAACAGCATTTGCCACAATTAATAATCCCTCCTTGAACTCCTTCCTTTCCATTCCAGGCCAACATGCTCTCCTGGTTTTTTTCCTACCTCACTAACTGCTCCTTCTCAGTCTGCCCTTCTCCCCAGACTTTCTTTCATCCATCTATCTATCTGTCTATCTATCTATCTACCTATCTATCTATTTGGAGACAGGGTCTCACTCTGTTGCCCAGGCTAGAGTGCAGTGACATAATCACAGCTCTCTGTAGCCTAAGCTCCTGGGCTCAAGTGATCCTCTTGCCTTAGCCTCCTTAGTAACTAGGATTATAGGTGCATGCCATTACACCCAGATTATTTTTATTTTTATTTTTTGTAGAGACAGTCTCGCTATGTTGCCCAGGCTGGTCTCAAAATCCTGGTCTCAGGCAACCCTCTCACCTCAGCCTCCCAAAGCACTGGAATTATAGGTGTGAGCTTTAGCACCCTGCCTTCCCTAGACATTTAAAATTTAAATACTCTAGGGCTCAGCTCTTGGTCATCTTCTCTATCTATACTCCCTGGGACAGGTATTATTATTATTATTTTGAGACGGAGTATTGCTCTGCCACCCAGGCTGGAGTGCAGTGGCACAACCTCGGCTCACTGCAACAATCTCCGCCTTCAAGGTTCAAGCAATTCTCCTGCCTCAGCCTCCTGAATAGCTGGGATTACAGGTGCGTACCACCATGCCCGGCTAATTTTTGAATTTTTAGTAGAGAGAGGGCATTATTAATTATTATTATTATTCCCATTATAGAAACTTTAAGATGCAGAGAGATTCAGACCTATGCAATCAAGACTTCAGAGGCCATACTCTTAACCTCTTCACCATTCTGCCTTATTTGGCTTTCCATTTAAGACGCAGGGCATAGCTGCACACATTCCACATTGTAGTGCCTTCAGTAACTGAGAAAAGAGACAGAGTGAGGCACATGGGACCCTCTTCCATAAGATATAAAGGACTAATAGTAGACACCAAGCCAGTAGAAAACCAACATTCTTGCAAATTCTGTTAAACAATCATCCTTCCTAAGTTTCTTCACTTTGTACTTTGGTAATTGCTTCTCAAGGAGGAATGTGAAAAGAAACTAGAACATACAGTCTCCAATCTTAGATGCTCATGAAATAATCTGGGGAGCTTTTAAAAATATAGATATAATAGGACCTATATGAACATATTAAACTTAGAAGATTCCAGTAATCTGTGTTTCCAAGGAGCACCCAAGCAAGGTCTGAAGCTGACAACTTGGCACCTGAATTTGCTCTCAAGAGAGTTTCTCTGATCCTCAAAGGATGAATAATGACTATCACATATTTATCTACCTAGCAGAGGCTGGAAATGAAATGAGAATGAAGATGTAAACTGATTCCAACAAATAATAAGACCAATGAGGAAAACCACAGCAAGGACTGTGGAATTCTGGATCAGGACACCAAACATTACCAGGTGGTCTGGTAATTTGTTGCCATAAAGAGTTTGTAGTTGAGTGCTGTCATCCCTTGGTTTCAGAGGGAATCATATCTGGGCAGCAAGAGGCAATTTAATACTTTAATAATATATATGCTCAGAGTATTCACCAAGTATTATGAGGCAATACAAGAATATTAAGAAATCCTGCCATTGCTCCAACGCAACAGAAGAAAGCATTATTAACATTGCCATTTTTGTATAAACATAAATGCACGTGCATTTTGTTTACATATGCAAGCAACACTTACTATGAAATTATAAATGCTGAAACTAAGGCAAATAAGTTACTTCAACACTTACTGACATCTTACCTCTGTAAGTGCATGCAGTTGTCCTTGATGAACACACACACCCATGAACCTAAAGAACAAAACAGAATTATTTTACAAGTGAAAGGACACAAACATAAATGTCAAGACCATCCTGGTCAACAAAGCAAATCCCCTTCTCTACTAAAAATACAAAATTAGCCAGGTGTGGTGGCACATGCCTGTAGTCCCAGCTACTCAGGAAGCTGAGGCAGGAGAACCTCTTGAACCTGGGAGGCAGAGGTTGCAGTCAGCCAAGATCATACCACTCCAGCCTGGGTGACAGAGGGAGACTGCATCTCAAAAAGAAAAAAAGAAACAACCTGTGAAGTCCCCTAGGATCTTGTACAACCCTGTAGACGCTTAATCTTTTTTTAAAAAAATTTTATCTCAAGAGTTTTGGGGGTATAGGTGGTGTTTTGTTATGTGGATAAGTTCAGTGGTGACTTCTGGGATTTTGGTACACCTATCACCTGAGCACTCTACACTGTACTCCATATGTAGTTTTTTTATCCCTCATCCCCCTCCCAACCTTTCCCCCTACGTCCCCAGGGTCCATTATATCATTCTCATTTCTTTGCATAAGATTTGGCATTAGACTCTTAATCTTGATTAAGATGTTAGGCTGATACATTTCTAAATTTACCATGAAATATCTGGTTGTAGCAAGACCTAGTGGTAAAAAGCAATGGTGTAAGAGGGACAGTAGGAAGTCCTGAAAATAGCATGGTATAATGGAAAAAGCCCCAATTGGGAGTAAGTAAACTTGGTACTGGTTTCACCTCTGCCATTACCTGACTACATGCTCACACACACACACACACACACACACACACACACACAAAAGTCACCAACTTCTTTTTAGTTTACACACTTCAGTGATACTTGAAGTTTTTCTCAACCAACAGGTTACATTTATATACATAAGTGATTTTTAAATAAAAACCATAAATGAATGATTATGACTGATGATGATCATAAAGTAGGAGAAGATAAATGCCTTACAGACATTAACAATACACAAGTCCCAAGTAAGTTCTAGTTTGGAAGAGCAAAGGAATGGGAAGAGACTGACTACAAGCAGAGTGCAAGGCACAGCAGTGACTGTGTTAGAATAGACCCTAAAATTTCCATGAATACAGAGTCTATGTCCTCTTCCTCCCTGTGTTCACAGAACCTAACAGAACCTAGTAAACAGAGAGTAAGCAAATTCAGTAAATGATTGCTGAGTGTGAAGAAACAAAGTAGGAAGAATGCCTGGTTGGCTGTAATATCACAGCAGAGTTTGTAAGACATGCTGCTTCCATATTTCAGCTAATGTGGAAATATGAGACTTTCTCCAAGGGTTGGTTTCTGGACTGCTAGTTTTCTGTAAATTCATCCAGAGACTTGACAGAAATTTGAGAATGGAAAGAATCTAACAAAAGATCCAAGTAGTACTAAAAACTGGGCACAGACTCCAAAGACTAGTTGAAACTTACCCCTGGCTTGGAAAGAGGTGGGAAGTGAAACAATAGAGTAGTTAAAAGGACTCTGAAATTAGAGAGTTGGGTTCAAGTCCCACCTCCACTCTTTTATTAGCAAGCAAGAGTTGCCCTCTTTGTTTTTTTTGTTGTGGTTTGTTTTTAGCCTTTTGCTTTATCTCTCAAGACAGAGTCTTGCTTTGTTGCCAGGCTGGAGTGCAATGGTGGGATCCTGGCTCACTGCAACCTCCGCCTCCCAGGTTTAAGCAATTCTCCTGCCTCAGCCTCCTGAGAAGCTGGGACTACAGGTGCACGCCACCATGCCTGGTTAATTTTTTGTATTTTTTGTAGAGACTGGGTTTCACCATGTTGGCCAGGCTGGTCTCAAATTCCTGACCTCGTGATTTGCCCGCCTCGGCCTCCCAAAGTGCTGGGATTACAGGTGTGAGCCATCACGCCTGGCTGCCCTCTTTGTAAAATGGGGATAATAGTGTCCACGACATAAGGTTTTTGGAAAGATTGAATGAATAATAAATGTAAAGTGCATAGCACAGTGACTAGTATGAAATAAGAGTTCAAAAAATGGTAAGCAATTATCGCTATTATAACGTAGAAGTGGACCAGGTAAGAATCAAACTTGGTCACAGATGCCTGGATAAAAGCTGGTTTCCACATATATCCACTTTTCTCTCTATTCCCCAACCCTTTTTTCTACTCCACTCCCTGCTTTGTAAAAGTGGGGCATTTGACTTCATTCATCTGTTAGTTTCTTCACTATGAAATTCACCACCTAATATGGAAAGGAGAAGTTGGGAGGAAGTGGGGTAGGTCTAAAAAACAATGGACATAAGCAACATAGAGCACGAAGGACTGAATCTCCAATGCTGAAACTATTTCTGGCCAACAGGGCACAGTATCTATAAGGTGAACAGACAGAACATCTGAGAGTTTTAGTCAACATCAGAAACTTTAGTTGAGTAGATGAGTAGAAGTGAATAAGTTGCCCTGAAGTAGGAAAAATCTGGGCTAGATGAATGACAAGACAATAGATCTAGGAAAGCTGTATTTGTATAGGTGTCTCTACAATAGGTCACTTTGGCCAGGCACAGTGGCTCATGCTTGTAATCCTAACACTTTGGGAGGATGAGGTGGATGGACCATCTGAGGTCAGGAGTTCCAGACCAGCCTGGCCAATATGGTGAAACCCTGTCTCTAGTAAAAATACAAAAGTTAGCCAGGCGTGGTGGCGGGTGCCTATGGTCCCAGCTACTTGAGAGGCTGAGGCAGGAAAATCACTTGACCCAGGAGGTGGAGGTTGCAGTGAGCCAAGAACATGCCACTGCACTCTAGCCTGGGCAACAGAAGCAAAACTCTGTCTCAAAAAATTAAAAATAAATAACAAATAAAAATAAAATAAGATAGGTCGTTTTTCTCTAAATGTTCATACAACTCCCCAATCACTGGAATTATGAGAGTGTGCCATTAATTTATTAAACAATTATTTATTGAATGGCTGCTATTTTGAAAATATTAAGGACAGAGAGTGAATAAAAACTTTCATTCTAGGATCATTATGTTGGAGGGAAATTATAATAAAAAGATAAATTATGCAGAATGTGGTTAAATTGGATACATGAATTGCTGTTTCTAGTTAGCCTCTTTTAGAAAAACTGCCTCTCTGAGATTAAATGATATCCCTGCCTAGGAATAATTCTATTCCCATTATCCCACTATAACAAAAAGAGTTAAAGTAAAATATGATAAGCTACATTCCCTCCTTGATTAAGGCTTTCCAAACTATGATGGACACTAGCAGGAGTTGGCTAACTATGGCCAACCACCTGTTTTTATAAATTAAATTTTACTAGAACATAGATATAGTATTGTCTTTGATGTTACAAAGAGTTGAATAGTTGTGACAGAGGCTGTATGACTTGTAAATGACTAAAATATTTACTATCTAGCACTTTATAGAAAAAGTCTGCTGACTACTATGGTTTGAATGTTTGCTCCCTCCAAAACTCATAGTGAAACTTAATCCTCAATGTGGTAGTATTGAGAGGTATGACTTTTAAGAGATGATTGGGTCATGAAGGCTCTGCTTAATCCATTCGTGGATTAATGGATTATTACAGGAATGAGTCTGGTAGATATATAAGAGGAGGAAGAGACTGGGCACAGTGGCTCATGCATATAATCTCAATACTTTGAGTGGCCAAGGCAGGAGGATTGCTTGAATCCAAGAGTTCAAGACTAGGCTGGGCAATATAGGGAGACCAGAAACCTGCTAAGGTGGGCAGACCTCTTGAGCCCAGGAGATGGAGACCAGCCTGGGAAATATAGTGAAATATGATCTTTACAAAAAATACAAAATAATAAGTATTTTTTTCTGTTTTTCTTTTTTTTTAAAGATGGGGTTTCACCATGATGGCCAGGCTGGTCTTGAACTCCTGACCTCAGGTGATCCACGCACCTCAGCCTCCCAAAGTGCTGGGATTACAGGCGTGAGCCACCATGCTGGGCCAATAATTGTATTTTTATACAAAAAATACAAAAATTAGTCAGGCATGGTGGCATGCCTGTGGTCCCAGTTACTCAGTAGGCTGAGGCAGGAGGATCACTTGAGCCCGGGAGGCAGAAGTTGCAGCAAGGCAAGATCATGCCATTGCACTCCAGCCTGGGCAGCAGAGCAAGACTCTGTTTAAAAAATAAAAATCGCCGGGCGCGGTGGCTCAAGCCTGTAATCCCAGCACTTTGGGAGGCCAAGGCGGGTGGATCACGAGGTCAAGAGATCGAGACCATCCTGGTCAACATGGTGAAACCCCGTCTCTACTAAAAATACAAAACATTAGCTGGGCATGGTGGTGCGTGCCTGTAATCCCAGCTACTCAGGAGGCTGAGGCAGGAGAATTGCCTGAACCCAGGAGGCGGAGATTGCAGTGAGCCGAGATCGCGCCATTGCACTCCAGCCTGGGTAACAAGAGCGAAACTCCGTCTCAAAAAAATAAAAAAATAAAAAAAATAAAAATCTTCCCTTGCCACCTCCCTAAAATATAAATCTAATTCACTCTTTTTATTTGTTATCAAACTTGAAGAATAGGTTACGTTTTCTATGTTTCTACATTTCTTACTTTGTTGCCCAGACTGGAGCACAGTGGTGTGATCACTGCTCATTGTAACCTTGAACTCCTGGGCTCAAGCAATCCTCCCACCTCAGCCTCCTGAGCAGCTAGGACTATAGATGTGCACCACTACACCCAGATAATTTTTGTATTATTATTATTATTTTTTTTGAGACAGAATCTCGTTCTGTCACCCAGGCTGGAGTACAGTGGTGTGATCTCGGCTCACTGCAACCTCCGCCTCCTGGGTTCAAGTGATTCTCCTGCCTCAGCCTCACGAGTAGCTGGGATTACAGGCTTGTGCCACCATGCTCGGATAATTTTTTTGTAGTTTTAGTAGAGACAGAGTTTCACCATGTTGGTCAGGCTGGTCTTGAACTCTTGACCTCGTGATCCACTCAGCTCAGCCTCCCAAAGTGCTGAGATTACAGGCATGAGCCACCACGCCCAGCCCATACTATTATTTG